TTAAGACTCACATATACGTTTTATTTTGAAAATCACACAGGTTCCTTCACAATAAAATAACTCTGGAGGCCCAAAGGTGTGGGGGGTCGGCAGAGTGAAGGTCAAACAAAGGTCACAGTAGAAGAGATAACACTGACAGGAAGTGCTTTTATCTTTTAACTCTTCTTCTGGTTGGGGACTCGAGTTCATTTTCCTGAAGTTTGGGTTTGAACACACGGGACACGCTAAGAACACGCTAAGAACACGCGGGACACGGTAAGAACACGTTAGCCCACACGCTTCAGGCCTCTTTAACACTGTACATATACACGGCTCTCTATAACGAGCGTCTTCATTCTTTGTTCTTTGCATAATGTGGAACAGAGGAGACACCTGTTCTCTCATCTCTATCACTCGCTCACTTTAGTTTCATCACTTTCTAAATACCTGGTCAGACCTGGAGCTGGAAATAAGTTTCATCTTCATATAAAGCAGATATAAATGTGTGAGATTTCTAACTCTCTTTAGAGCTGGACTCTCTGATAGTGACGATGCTATCAAAGGTTCAACCCTTTATTATTCATGAACAGTTCGGAGTATTAAAGTGTGAAACTATTTGTAGATCCAGTTTCTTTAGTTTTAGATTTGAAAAACATTGAAATGTTTATTTCTGACGGAGAGCCGGATGTCTTCCTGTTAGACGGCATGAGACATCAAAATATAAACAACACATTCTTCAGTTCTTTTTTCTGATATTTGATTTCTGTAAATAAAGAGATGAACTCTAATGATGGTTCAAATACAAAATAAAAGTCTCCTCTCTCTGCTCCCCTCGCTTCCTGTACAGTCCCTTCAAAATAAAAGCATATTCTCTCTCTCTCAGTCCTCCTGGTCCGACCTCCCGACCATCTTCCCGTCTCCTGAACTCTCGTCCCTCAGTGAGTCTTTGCTTCCTTCCTCCTCTTCCTCGCCTCCCTCCTCTTCCTCGCCTCCCTCCCTGAAACTTGCCTCCCGTCTGTCCTCCCCATTGAGACCTGGTTCCTCTGGGTATCCTCCCCCCTGCAGGAGACCATTGAGACCTGGTTCCTCTGGTTCTTCTGGTTCTTCTGGTGGCTCCTGTGGGTGAGGGTACCCTGCCCCCCCCTGCAGGATGCTCTCATTGAGACCTGGTTCCTGAGGGTACCCTGCCCCCCCCTGCAGGATGCTTTCATTGAGACCTGGTTCCTGAGGGTACCCTGCCCCCCCCTGCAGGATGCTCTCATTGAGACCTGGTTCCTGAGGGTACCCTGCCCCCCCCTGCAGGATGCTCTCATTGAGACCTGGTTCCTGAGGGTACCCTGCCCCCCCCTGCAGGAGGACCCTCCTCATCATCAGCTGGGTGTCCTCCGCCCCCCCGGCGCCCCCCCCGGCGGCCTCCCTCTCCTCCGCCTCCCTCTTGCAGTAGGAGTATCGGTGGTTCATGTGCTGCGAGTAGGACCCCGAGTGGGAGAACCTCTTCCCGCACTTATCACACTGGTAGGGTTTCTCTCCGGAGTGCAGGCGGGCGTGTTCGATCAGGTGGTGTTTGTGTTTGAACGCCTTCTGGCAGATCTCACACTGGTGGGGGCGCTTTCCTGCAACACACACACACACACACACACACACACACACACACACACACACACACACACACACACACACACACACACACACACACACACACACACACACACACACACACACACACAGGTGTTATAGTACAGATCTCACACTGGTTGGGGGCATCACCGAACACACACTACACATAATATAATACGTGTAGAATATAAAGCATCCAAAATTCAAACAGTCAGGAATATCCAGATTAAAAACATAAAAAAACCCACTTTATGAAACCCTGCTTTCTAAAGGACAAGCTGACATGGCAGCACGCTTTAAAGTGCTTTGTTTCATCTCCAGAAACCATGGAGTCATCTCGTGGCGTAAAAGGGTATAACAACAAGTATATATATCTATATATAGGTGTAAAGATAGATGGTAGATCAGCAGCATCGTTTCACAGAATTCCTCATAAGATCTGAGAATCCGTTAGCACGTTAGCTTGTTAGCATTACCATGCCTGTTTATAACCTGTAGGCTAACGACAACGTTGTGTTGTCACTAGTTGTGTTAAACTGACCGTCGACATTAAAGGTCCCATGTCATGCTTTTCTGGTTCTGACCCGTCCCCTTGTGTTCTGTAGCTTCTGCATGTGAACGGTCTGCAGAGTCACAAACCCTCAGAGTGCACCCTGTAGGGAGTAACACTCTAACACAGAGAAGACCTCTCTATGCTGCCCCAGAACGCCTCGTTGGATATCTTTCTTTTTCCATTTGTTTCTTCCTGGTCGTAGTGACGTAACACAAGGCGGAGCTCCAACAAGCCGTGTAGGACAGAGAGTGAATACACAGACTATACAGAGATGCTGTATGAGAAACCAATGTGAGTTTGGAACATTGAACAATGTCAATCTATTCTAGTAGACCTCAACAATGGAACTATGATCAGTAGAAATGGCCGTGAATTGGGACCTTTAATATATCTCCCCCTGCTGTGTGACTTTAACCACAGACGTCTCAGACGGCAGCATTCAGCGCTAAAGTTAAAATATGCAAGGGAAACATGTGGTTTTAACTTTGTATCTAAAATATGCATAGTGTTGTGAGGGTCCCAGTGTTCAATCAGAACGTTCAGCTTCGTGTGACCTTTATAGAAACACGTTCGGTTTCAGCGGTTTAACTTCTGAGAGTTTAATCAAATAAAACTAAAGTGTGTTTGAGTTTCAGACTCTCAGACTGATCCTCCGTCATCATTCTCTACGCTGAGACACTGACATCACAGCGCCGGATTTAAACTGCCGTAACACCGCCCACACACACACACACACACACACAACACACACACACACACACACACACACACACACACAAACACACACATACACACACACACACAAACACACACACACACACACACACACACACAAACACACACACATACACACACACACACACACACACACACACAAACACACACATACACACACACACACAAACACACACACACACACACACACAATCACACACACACACTCCAGGATTTACTACGACTCCATACGAAGGGGAGATTTCTTCATCTGACTGACAGCAGGCTGCTAGCGACACACTGAACGCCGGCCAAACACACAGCCCACACACACACACACAAACACACACCACACACAAACACACACATACACACACACACACACACACAAACACACACACACACACACACACACAAACACACATACACACACACACACACACACACACACACACACACACACACACACACACACACACACACTCACACTCACACACACACACACACACTCGGTGCAGCAGAAAGAACCGGGACGTTGGATGAGTTACGGGGGCGGGGGGGTGATGTAATTTGGTGAAACAGGCGCAGGTGGAGCAGCTGCTGCTCAGTTGAAACGTTTCATGTTGAACTTCAGATTCAGAGGTGATATATTCATATAGTCTGAAACACATCTGTTCATATATAGATAATTATAAAACGTCAAATCAAGCAATCTGATTGGTTCTTAGCCGTGATATACTGAGCGTATACCACGGGTAGAATTGTAGTTACTTTTCACAACAAGTCAGTATCCCTCCGCGTCTGAGAAAAACTGTATACAGTTGGGCTGAAAAGCAAACTGCCTGCAGTTTGCTTTTCAAACTGGAACAAGAAAACAGCGGAGAAGTAACGGGGCAGAAACCCTCCTTTATACGCAGCGGTTCAGACATAGACATCAAACGGCGACACATATTCAGTGTGCAGTTCCTTTGGCATTAGGGCAGGGATATCTAGATACTTCCCAAGGTTTGACATCATGAAGTGTGCTACTTTTAAAGCAAGCAACGATGTTTTCAAATCTGTAATCAAAAAGGTCCTCAAAAACGCTATCGACCAATCAGATTGCTTGATTTGACTTGTCCGTTTTATAAATATATTTACACTTCTTCCGTTACGAAACAAACTTACAGAGCATAAGATGGAAACATGTAAGGTTAACTTGGACCTCCGGGGGGGTCTCACTATGGAGGAGTGGATTGAGGAGTGCCTATCTCCAGAAAGCACCTAAACGACGACATGCAGAGCTACGTGAAGAGCAGGTAGACCAACTGGAAAAGTACCACCATTCAAAAGCTTCGCGTCGGGCCGAACCACGCCCCTTAGCTGTGATATAATGAGCATATACCACGGCCTGTCGTGAGCTATTGCTTAAATATACAGTATTCATTACTGCAGATATATATATATATATATATTAGGGCTGTCAGTCGATTAAAATATTTAATCGCGATTAATCGCATGATTGTCCATAGTTAATCGCGATTAATCGCAAATTAATCGCACATTTTTTATCTGTTCTAAATGTACCTTAGAGGGATATCTTTCAAGTTTTTAATACTCTTATCAACATATGAGTGGACACATATGCTTTATATGTTTGTTTATTATCATTTGAACAATGACAAATATACTCATGAATATTAAACACAACAACCTGAACATTACAAATATTCACCTCAATTCAACCTGGAACCTCTCTCATACAATAATACTGTGTGTGTGTGTGTGTGTGTGTGTGTGTGTGTGTGTGTGTGTGTGTGTGTGTGTGTGTGTGTGTGTGTGTGTGTGTGTGTGTGTGTGTGTGTGTGTGTGGAGACACTGTGATGGATCGTTGGAGGAGCTATGTGCAGCTCAAGGCATATATGCTCCAACGGGAGCTGCCTGGACGCTGCAATCATGTTGCGCGCACTATCCGTGCTGAGTGTGCTGACTTTTCGTACAATGTCCCACTGTCTGGCTACCTGCATAAAGTCAAGTGCTCGGCGCAGTTGTCGGCGAAATGTCATTGAAACAGCTCCTTATATCCGTTAGCGCAGCTAGCTAGCACCAGATGCTAACAACAACACGTAAGGTGTGCCTCGCTCGCGCGAGTCGCGCCACACACACACCCTCCCTCCCGGTCCTCCTGATGGCCAGTCCGGGCCTGCCAGTGAGCGTGGAAGTGTGGTCTGCCACAAGCGGGCGGTAGGAGCGGGGCTGTCAGCATCAGCTTGTCGATGGTATTTTAAACTCGATGCGCTCTGAAACTACAGGGCGGCCGAGGACAAAAAATACACATGCGTTAATCGCGTTAAAATAATTAGTGGCGTTAATTTTTTTTTGCGTTAACGCGTTATTAACGCGTTAACTTGACAGCCCTAATATATATATATAAATATATATATATATATATATATACTCTATATATATATTTATATATTTATATATATATATATAAATATATAAATATATATATAGAGTATTCATTATCTGCAGTAATTAATACTTCCTGTTGATCTCCACACATGCAGAAACTCCTCTCATGATTTGATATAGATTAGTGTTTAAGATGAAGCCCCACCCCTGCTGGGAGACACTGAGAGACACTGAGAGACACCACTGAGAGACACTGAGAGACACTGAGAGACACTGAGAGACACTGAGAGACACCACTGAGAGACACTGAGAGACACTGAGAGACACTGAGAGACACTGAGAGACACTGAGAGACACTGAGAGACACCACTGAGAGACACTGAGAGACACTGAGAGACACTGAGAGACACCACTGAGAGACACTGAGAGACACCACTGAGAGACTCTGAGAGACACTGAGAGACACTGAAAGACACCACTGAGAGACTCTGAGAGACACTGAGAGACACTGAGAGACACTGAGAGACACTGAGAGACACTGAGAGACACTGAGAGACTCTGAGAGACACTGAGAGACACCACTGAGAGACACTGAGAGACACTGAGAGACTCTGAGAGACACCACTGAGAGACTCTGAGAGACACTGAGAGACACTGAGAGACACTGAGAGACTCTGAGAGACTCTGAGAGACACTGAGAGACACTGAGAGACTCTGAGAGACACTGAGAGACTCTGAGAGACACTGAGAGACACTGAGAGACACTGAGAGACTCTGAGAGACACTGAGAGACACTGAGAGACTCTGAGAGACACTGAGAGACACTGAGAGACTCTGAGAGACACTGAGAACGACACCACTGAGAGACACTGAGAGACACTGAGAGACACCACTGAGAGACACCACTGAGAGACTCTGAGAGACACTGAGAGACACTGAGAGACACTACCTGAGAAGACACTGAGAGACACTGAGAGACACTGATACACTGAGAGACACTGAGAGACACTGAGAGACACTGAGAGACCTGAGAGACACACTGAGAGACACTGAGAGACACTGAGAGACACTGAGAGACACCACTGAGAGACACTGAGAGACTCTGAGAGACACTGAGAGACACTGAGAGACTCTGAGAGACACCACTGAGAGACTCTGAGAAACACTAAGAGACTCTGAGAGACACTGTGAGACACTGAAAGACTCTGAGAGACACTGAGAGACACCACTGAGAGACTCTGAGAGACACTGAGAGACACTGAGAGACTCTGAGAGACTCTGAGAGACACTGAGAGACACTGAGAGACTCTGAGAGACACTGAGAGACACTGAGAGACTCTGAGAGACTCTGAGAGACTCTGGGAGACTCTGAGAGACTCTGAGAGACACTGAGAGACACTGAGAGACTCTGAGAGACTCTGAGAGACACTGAGAGACTCTGAGAGACTCTGAGAGACACTGAGAGACACTGAGAGACTCTGAGAGACACTGAGAGACTCTGAGAGACACTGAGAGACACTGAGAGACTCTGAGAGACTCTGAGAGACACTGAGAGACACTGAGAGACTCTGAGAGACTCTGAGAGACTCTGGGAGACACTGAGGAGACGTTACGTTAGCATACATTAGCATTCGTTAGCTAGCTCCCGTGATTGCATAAGAACAGGGTGTCGTCTAAATTCAATGTTGGGTTTATTACACACACACACAGTGATCATAGTTTTATTTATATTTTCAGACACATTTATATATATTTATATAATGTTTTCACAAACATCACAAACATATATATATTAAAATATAAGTATACAGAGCCAACAGCATGTATAAAAACAAATGTTTAAAAAAACAATACTGAGCTGTTAAAGTTAGAACGCCTAGCCATAGCTAACTAGTTAGCATCATGCAGAGGAGCCGCAGTTATTTAGCTACGTTAGCCTACATTAGCGTACGTTAACATACATTAGCTAGCTCAGCACTATAGGCAGCTGTTGTTATTGTGTCTAAGTTTAATGTTTCTGTTTTTTTCTACAGATATGCAGAATTTATCTTTGTAAATAAGATTTTGTTTTAATTTTACTGTAATGTTTATTTTCTGACATATTTTTAAATGTTAATTTAAAAACTGTGCCGGCCAATAATAAGTGTGGATGGGATATCAGAAGGGGGGGGGGGGGTAGAAGAAGTTATAATAGCATATCAGGTATATCAGAAGGGGGGGGTAATATAAGTGTGTGGGATATATACCTGTGTGCTCATATTTGTGTCTGAGGAGGGAACTGGTCTTCTGGAATGTTTTGTCGCAGAGCTCACAGGCGTACGTACCGCTTTCTGTCTTCTTCAGCTTCCTGTCCGACACATCGTCCAGCAGGAAGTCCCCATCAGGAAACTCCACCTGCACACACACACGCACACGCACACACACGCACGCGCACACGCACACGCACACGCACACGCACACACACACACACACACACACACACACACACACACACACACACACACACACACACACACACACACACGCCCTTTAGTTCCTGATAATCCCACACCTGACTGCCCCCCCCCTGATCCACAGTCTGGACAGAGCTTAAAGGTAAGTCCCTAAAACAGGGGGGACATATGGGGGCGGGGGGGGGGGGGGGGGGTTAGAGATGAAGGTGAACAACAGGTGTTTAAGGTTGATCAACAACAACACGGTGTATCTGTGGGGGGGGTCCCAGAGATACCCTCATATAGAGTCTCTCTTAATGAACCACACACTGAAGATCTGGTGAAACGAAACTTGTGTTCAGACGAAACCTATATTGTGGCATCTGTTGGAACTTTAGTATTTGAAACATTTGTAAAATATAATGTTTAAAGAGTTTGTTGGGGGTTGTTAGGACCCTTACACCCCCCACCCTGATCTATGACCTCATCAGGGTCTCTGTGGGCCTCATGGTCTTCAGGGGTCGGATCAAACTTGGAGAATTGATTGAAATGTGATTTAAACCTTTCCTTACATTAACTGAATGTATGTAATGTCAGTTTTTGCACGTACATGCGAGTAAACAACAACAAGCCGGGCCGTGTACTTGAGACCCGGTTCTAACACTGATCTCCTGGTCCTCAACCTCCACATGGACTCCCCCCCCCCCACCTGCAAACACGCTTCTGAATTCTCCTCCCTTCTGGACAATTTCTCATTTACCCAATATGTCACCTTCCCCACCCATGATAAAGGACACATCCTTGACCTTGTCTGCTCCACCAACCTCCCAGTACTCGACCTCCACCCCTGCCCCTTTCCCCTCTCTGACCACACACTCATACAGTTCACCATCGCCTCCCCCGTCCGCCACCCCCCCCCCCCATCCAGGAACATCACCTTTCGTAATTGACGCTCTGTCGATCCCCAGCACCTCTCCGACCTGCTATCCTCTACTCTCCCCCTGGACTCGAACCTCAGCTCACCCGATGAACAACTCAACCACCTTAATTCCACCCTACTCGCCTCCCTCAACAGCCTGGCCCCCCTCAAAAGGAAAAATGTCACTTTTAAAACCTCCTCACCCTGGTTCACCCCTGCAATCCGAAAGTTGAAGCAAACCGGCCGCCAGCTTGAACGCCTAACCATGGAATCATCCCTCACAGTTTACCACGAATCCTACAAACTCCATCTCACTACCTACAGAGACGCCCTCACTGCCGCAAAATCTGCTTACTTCTCCACCATCTTTACCGACCCCTCCCGTAACCCCAGGACCCTCTTCTCCACCGTCAACAAGCTCCTCTGACGCTCCACTGCATCTGACACACACATCTCCCCCAACACCCACCGCCACAATTTCTCCCTCCATCTCCCTGGACCTCCCGAGCCCTCCTCCCCACGGCCGCCTCTCCCAGTTCACTCTGGTTACCCCCCCTGAAATACTCAAACTGATCAGCTCCTCCAAACCCACAACCTGCTCGCTTGACCCTCTACCCACCCCTCTACTGTCCTTGTTTGTCTACCCTCCCTCACCTGTAAAGCGTCTTTGGGTTAGAGAAAAGCGCTATAGAAATACAATTTATTATTATTATCTGTGAGGACACTATCTGAGATCTGGTTTACCTGGAATCCAGGTTTCCGTTGGTACTTCCTCCTCTGCTGGATGTCGTTGAAGGAGCTGAAGCTGTAGGCCATGTGGGGCAGGAAGCTCAGGGGGTCCAGACCTGGGTACGAGCTGAGGCCCGGGACCTGGGCCGCGGACAGGAAGCTGGGCGGAGGGAACGCTCCGTGGGGGTGCAGCGAGGAGTAGACCGGGCCTCCGGAGAACGGGTTCATCCCGAACAGGGGACTGGAGCCCCCCTCCGAGACCAGGACCTCCTTCTTGATGTGGACCAGGTCCTCACTGAACCCGTTGACCCGGGGCCTCTTGGACAGCAGCTTCTGGACCAGGTGTTTGGGCAGCGACAGGTCGAGGGGGGGAGTCCCCAGGGGGGTCGTCTGAGGCCAGGCTGTTGGGGGTGTAGGAGGTCTTTGAGGAGGTGGAGGACAGGTTGAGGGGGGAGGGAGTGTTGGTCCTCAGGGGGTCCAGAGCATCCCCTCCGGTCGGCCTGGAGGTCTTACTGAGTCTATGGGAGGCATCTCCGTTAGTGAAGTGCATTATGGGGGACTGGCAGAGGTCTGGGGTCGGGGTCTTCCTCTTCAGACCCCCCCCCCTGCTGGTTCTGGTTCCTCCACTGGGAGAACCACTCCCTCACAAACTCCTGCGGGAGCCCCACAGTGAGGGAGATCTGGAGCAGCTGGTCTGGGCTGGGATCGCTGTTCAGTGCAAAGTAGTTCCTCAGCAGGGAGACCAGGTCTTTGAAGGGGTGGGGGGGGGCTGGTGGCGGTCTCGGTGGTGGACCCCTCGGGGGGGCTGCTGTCCGGCTGCAGCACCGCCTGGATCTCCTGGTTCTTGCGGCACTGGTACCGCTCGTGCTGGTGCAGCGGGATGGGCCCCGGGAAGGCCTGCTTACAGAACTGGCAGCAGAACAGGAAGTGGTTCTGCCCGTCTGGATCCCCCCCCCCCAAGTGGCTGGGCTTCTCCTTCTTGAAGTTCCTCTTGGACTCGATGAGGTTCCTGGCCTCGTTCACCTTCTGCAGCGTGAAGTCCATGATGGTCTTGGTGGGGCTGCCACCCCCCTCCATCTGGGCCCCCAACTCCTTCATGTAGGCCCGGAGCTTCTGGACCTCCTCCGGGTTCCCGTCCACCTTCTGCCGGGTCACCGTGTTGTCCACGATCTGGAGCACCTTCTGGACCTCGCACAGGTTCCCCAGGCCCAGCAGGTCCAGCCCCCCCCGGCCCCCCAGGCCCAGCAGGGGGTTCTGGGAGGAGCTGTGGACCCCCCCGTTCAAGTAGACCCCCGGACCCCCAAACCTGTGCTGGGCCATCAGGAGCCGGTACTCGTTGAAGTCCAGCGGCTCAGCCTTGATGTCCGGCTGCTGGTCGGGGGGCTCCAAGGGCCCCCGATGCTCCAGGGGCCCCCGGGACTCCAGCTTGTGTCTCAGCTGAGCGAGGGCCGGGCTCCCCGGGGAGGAGGTGCTGGAGCTGGGGGAGGACCCGGGTCTGGATCCAGGTTTGGATCCGGTCCGCGAGATCAAGCCGATGCACTTCCTGCTGCTGATGTGGGAGCTGTAGGACCCGGAGTGAGAGAACCTCTTCTTACAGTGAGAGCACTCGTAGGGTTTCTCCCCTGAAACACAAACAACAACAAATCAGTCAATCAGTCAATCAATCAATCAATCAATCAATCAATCAATCAATCAATCAGTCAATCAATCAATCAAAGTTACTGAGGAATAACTGAAGGAGGAGCAGATCTCCGATATATCATCTCTATATCGATGATATAATAATAATAGATGACCTTGAAGAGGTCTGGAGTCTGAGGAACTCACCGCTGTGGATGCGCAGGTGCTCCTTCAGGTGATGCTTGTATTTGAAGGCTTTCCCACACTCGCTGCATTTGAACTTCCTGTTTCCTGCGGCCTCGCCGATCAGCGCCTGCACACACACTCTGATCAATACCTGCACACACACTCTGATCAACACCTGCACACACACTCTGATCAACACCTGCACACACACTCTGATCAACACCTGCACACACACTCTGATCAACACCTGCACACACACTCTGATCAATACCTGCACACACACTCTGATCAACACCTGCACACACACTCTGATCAACACCTGCACACACACTCTGATCAACACCTGCACACACACTCTGATCAATACCTGCACACACACTCTGATCAACACCTGCACACACACTCTGATCAACACCTGCACACACACTCTGATCAACACCTGCACACACACTCTGATCACCTGGATAACACTCATGGTTTATATCATTTCAAATGCCTGTGATGAGACAGGTTTCTGAATATTGTGTCAAATGTGTTGAAATGTGAATGTGTTCTCTCTTTCTGTACACGTGTAAATAAACAATAACATTTCCTCTCTCAGCCCGAAGAGGAGAGAAGCTCGTCTTTAGGGCTCAGTTCAGGGTGCTTAGTATTTAGAGGATGCATTGGGGGGGCAGCTCCCCCAGACATACATCCAGCTGCAGTCCTTTGACACTCAAACCCTGAACAACGTTATTATATTATAATATATTGGACATATAGATATGTATTTCATCTTAATGTCATTTTTAAGGAGCAGACTTTATGATGCAGAATCTGAAGGAGCTTTACATAAACAGTCTACCAGCTGACAGCAGAGTGTGTGTGCAGAGTGTGTGAGCAGAGTGTGTGTGTGCAGAGTGTGTGTGCAGAGTGTGTGTGCAGAGTGTGTGTGCAGAGTGTGTGTGCAGAGTGTGTGTGCAGAGTGTGTGTGCAGAGTGTGTGTGCAGAGTGTGTGTGAGCAGAGTGTGTGTGCAGAGTGTGTGTGCAGAGAGTGTGTGTGCAGAGTGTGTGAGCAGAGTGTGTGTGCAGAGTGTGTGTGCAGAGTGTGTGTGCAGACTGTGTGTGTGCAGACTGTGTGTGTGCAGAGTGTGTGTGCAGAGTGTGTGTGCAGACTGTGTGTGTGCAGAGTGTGTGTGCAGACTGTGTGTGCAGAGTGTGTGTGCAGAGTGTGTGTGCAGAGTGTGTGTGCAGAGTGTGTGTGCAGAGTGTGTGTGCAGACTGTGTGTGTGCAGAGTGTGTGTGCAGAGTGTGTGTGCAGAGTGTGTGTGCAGACTGTGTGTGCAGAGTGTGTGTGCAGAGTGTGTGTTTAACAGAGTAACTGCAGGACACAGATTAACAGGTGTTTATGGGATTACATCGTTTTAAAGCCGTCTGGGGGGGGGGCAGGTGACTGAGTCGTCTGGGGGGGGCAGGTGACTGAGTCGTCTGGGGGGGGCAGGTGACTGAGTCGTCTGGGGGGGGGGCAGGTGACTGAGCCGTCTGGGGGGGGGCAGGTGACTGAGTCGTCTGGGGGGGGGCAGGTGACTGAGCCGTCTGGGGGGGGCAGGTGACTGAGCCGTCTGGGGGGGGGGCAGGTGACTGAGTCGTCTGGGGGGGGCAGGTGACTGAGTCGTCTGGGGGGGGGCAGGTGACTGAGCCGTCTGGGGGGGGGCAGGTGACTGAGTCGTCTGGGGGGGGGCAGGTGACTGAGTCGTCTGGGGGGGGCAGGTGACTGAGTCGTCTGGGGGGGCATGGGTGACTGAGTCGTCTGGGGGGGGGAGGTGACTGAGTCGTCTGGGGGGGCAGGTGACTGAGTCGTCTGGGGGGGGGCAGGTGACTGAGTCGTCTGGGGGGGGGCAGGTGACTGAGTCGTCTGGGGGGGGGCAGGTGACTGAGTCGTCTGGGGGGGGGGCAGGTGACTGAGTCGTCGGGGGGGGGGCAGGTGGTTGAGTCGTCTGGGGGGGGGCAGGTGACTGAGTCGTTCTGGGGGGGGCAGGTGACTGAGTCGTCTGGGGGGGGGCAGGTGACTGAGTCGTCTGGGGGGGGGAAGGTGACTGAGTCGTCTGGGGGGGGGGCAGGTGACTGAGTCGTCTGGGGGGGGGGCAGGTGACTGAGCCGTCTGGGGGGGGCAGGTGACTGAGCCGTCTGGGGGGGGGGCAGGTGACTGAGTCGTCTGGGGGGGGGGCAGGTGACTGAGTCGTCTGGGGGGGGGCAGGTGACTGAGTCGTCTGGGGGGGGGGCAGGTGACTGAGTCGTCTGGGGGGGGGCAGGTGACTGAGTCGTCTGGGGGGGGGCAGGTGACTGAGTCGTCTGGGGGGGGGGCAGGTGACTGAGTCGTCTGGGGGGGGGGGCAGGTGACTGAGTCTCGTTATGGGGGGTAATTGGGTAATTGACTGAGAGCGTCTCGTTATCAGATTACTGATGATCACCCTAACTGTGTGTGTGTGAGTGTGTGTGTGTGTGTGTACCTGCTCTTTGGTTGGTCAGTTGTTGGTCATGTGATGCTCCAGGTGTGTGTGTGTGTGTGTGTACCTGCTCTGTGGTTGGTGTGTGTGTGTGTGTGTGTGTGTGTGTGTGTGTGTGTGTGTGTGTGTGTGTGTGTGTGTGTGTGTGTGTGTGTACCTGCTCTGTGGTTGGTCTGTGGTTGGTCGGTGGTTGGTCGGTGTGTGTGTGTGTGTGTGTGTGTGTGTGTGTGTGTACCTGCTCTGTGGTTGGTCTGTGGTTGGTCGGTGGTTGGTCGGTGTGTGTGTGTACCTGCTCTGTGGTTGGTCGGTGGTTGGTCATGTGATGCTCCAGGTGTGTGTGTGTGTGTACCTGCTCTGTGGTTGGTCGGCGTGTGTGTGTGTGTGTGTACCTGCTCTTTGGTTGGTCAGTTGTTGGTCATGTGATGCTCCAGGTGTGTGTGTGTGTGTACCTGCTCTGTGGTTGGTCGGCGTGTGTGTGTGTGTACCTGCTCTGTGGTTGGTCGGTGGTTGGTTGGTGGTTGGTCGGTGTGTGTGTGTACCTGCTCTGTGGTTGGTCGGTGGTTGGTCATGTGACGCTCCAGGTGAGCTCGGTGGCTGAAGGTGTCGCTGCAGGTGGGGCAGGTGAAGCTCTCTCTCTCTCTCTCTCTCTCCTGGAGGCTCTCATGTCGGTACCTGATGTGTTCCTTCAGAGACGAGAGGCGCTTGTATCCTCGATCGCAGTACGGACAGGTGAGCATCGCCGAGAAGTCGTCCACCGACCCTGAGAGGAGATCTGGGGGGGGGATCAGCTTTTATTTAGATGGTTGTTGTTATTTACAGCTTTTATTTAGATGGTTGTTGTTATTTACAGTTTTTATTTAGATCAGGGGTGTCCAAACCTTTTTCACCGAGGGCCACAGACAGAAAAATATACGAAGGGTTGGGACGCTCACTAGAGGTTTATCGCCTCATAAGTTCAGTTATGAGTTGGAAAAATCAATCAGATGTAGGTAAATGATGCTTGAGTGTTATCAGCTGATCAATAGATCCTCAGATTGATGATAACAAGGAGAAATATGAAGCGTTTATTTCAAGCTTGTTATGTGAACAGGTCATTGGGCTTTTTTCTTATCAACTAAGATTTGATAGAAAATGTTTCCAACTTTAATTGAGTGAATTTATTTTAAAAGTGGGCTTATGAACACATGAATACTACTGTGTGATATATGTTTACATTTATATTTAAGAAGTACAATATAAGACAAGCACAAGTTTCATTTGTGAGCCATATTATATTATACTTTTTTAATTTGCTGAGGGCCGTCTCAAAATGGTCCACGGGCCGCATTGGGCCCCCGGGCCGTAGTTTGGACACCCTTGATGGTTGCTGTTATTTACAGTTTTGATTTAGATGATTCAAGGTTCAAGGTTCAAGGTTCTTTATTTTGTCATACGAACATAGCTACAGATTAGTTATGGTCACAGGCTTCTCCAACAATGCAACACAATAACACAGATAAACAGAAAAATATAGTGCAAGTAAATATTAAAAAGTAAATACAAAAAGAAAAATAGTTTAAAAAAAGTGAAATAGTGAAATAAGAGTCTATATGCAAGCTATTGGAATGATATATTAGATAAATAGATAAATAATTACTAAGTAGCAGATGAATGTTATGGATGTTGTTTCAACAGTTCAGAGGCCTGTACGACGAAGCCGGATGTTCTCTTAGCTAACTTCAGGGACAACTCTGGGTTTCCGGTCCTACGACGCTGGTTCTCTTTTTAGCGGGCTAGATCTCCATGGTAACTGATGCTCAGCGGCTAACCTCCTCGGGAGGAGGTTAGGTTGCAGGCTAAGAGATCAACTCAGTGAAAGCACCGCCTGCTGACCAATCAGAGCTCCGTGTGAGGAGTTTAAAGATATCAAGTCATATTACAGGATAGAGGAAATACAGAAAGACGGCCGGCAAAAATCAACTGACTGTGTGAACGTGAACATGAATAGAATATCCCCTCCCATCTTCAGAGCAATCTGACTATTATAACATAGCGTTAAGAAAGCTTACTTAAATATCTGCCACAACATAAGTAACCGGATCAGAGTAACATTACGTACAGTCCGCGGCACTGTGAGTGCAGACGTCGATGTGTCCCATTTAGGGTTGCAAAATTCCGGGAATTTTCAAAGATGGAAACTTTCCACGGGAATTAACGGGAATTTATGGGAATAAACTGGGAATTTTCCAAATTGAAGGTTGGCTCTTCATAGGGAACTTAAATATAGTTGGGGAAAGTATATTTTAGCATAATCTTGACTAAAACAAACAGATGCCATTCAAGTACACTTGAATATACATGCCATAGCACACTGCTTACTGCATGGCTATTGAGACCACACAAAGGTTCGCAACAAGCTCACAAATGTGAGAGTGGAAAAACTGGTTGGCATTCGGGCAAACCTAAGGCTTTCTGAGCCGGACACAGAGCCATCCTCAACAAGGCTGGACAGTGACACTGAAGAGGAAGAGGAAGAGTGTGACGTTGATGAGGCCCAGGAAGAGCCCGTTGACTGAAAGGGTTTAGCCAAAATGCAGAGGATTGCTTGAAGGAAGATTTGCATGTTCAATGGGACTTTTTGGAGGGAGAAGGGCTCGTTTAATTTCACATTTTGAATGGGACTTTGTGGGGATTTTTGGATGGGGGGTGCATTTTTGTTCATTTTTTAATGAGTGGGGTTGGGGGGGATGAGTAACATTTAACTCAACATTCCTGTTTTTGTTCTTCAATGAAACAAATAATTGTTCAATAAAATAATTAAAACTTGTTCTGTTCTACTTAAAAAAAAATCTGTTGAAATGTCATGTTTTTTTGTTTAATTTTGCATCGAATATTTCCAAAATTCCCCAGCTTAACTTTCCATGGAAACTTTCCGGAAATGTGCTGGAAACTTTCCGCCCCTTTGCAACCCTAGTCCCATTATCATTCATATCACATCATATCACATCATAATGTATCATAGGCTATATTTCCTTATCTGAGTCAGCTGAGCCGTATCTGGCCGTGCAACACTCACAGTGTCACATACTGGATGCAGAAGTATTATTTTAAGCAACACATTAAGTTGATGAAACACTGGAGTCAAATGTAATCAAAGTCAGATCCACTTGTGTCTTGGACGGGGCAGTGATTTCATAAACCTGTTAATGTACGCATTCAAACACTTTCTCTGTTACCAGCTGTATTCACCTTGCAGGTGCAGCTATGTGGCTTTGATCCTGGATAAAGTGTTTAAGTCATGGATGTTTAAAGTTTAACTTCTTCATATTTGACTAATATTAAAGTTCACTTTTCATTCAGGAAGTATGACGCTGCGCTGTCAGTACGCTTGTCCATGTTTGTGATTGGTCGAATGCTCCAAATACCACCCCTTTCATGTGAACGCGCACCTAACTAGATAGGACACGGCTGGCTTGAGCGATCCACTTGATAACCAGCGTCGTAGGACCGCTTAGCGAGAGCACGTATGTTTTGGATTGGGCCAACCGGCTAACTCAAACATATCCAGGTTAGGTTGAACCGGCTTCGTAGTACAGGCCTCTGGTGTTGAACAGTCTTATTGCCTGTGCCTGTATTGCTGTTATTAACAGTTTTTATCTGTTCTTCACTGTAATAATCGTTGTTCCAGGCCTCACCGTGCTCGCTCTCGTCCTGCCCGGCGGCCTCAGGTGTTCCCAGGCGCATCAGCTCCTCCGGGGCTTCTGGGTAAATGATGGCGGTGTCGCTGCGCTGCAGGTATTCTGCGATGGATCCCGGGTGACCGTCGTCGTCATGGTTACGCTTCAGGAAGAAGTCATCGAGCTCGGAGACGTCCAGACGCTCTGCTGAGGAAACACGGTGAGTTCAAGAGACATTTAAAGTATAAAATCATAGAAACACATCACTATAAGTACACACGATATATGACGCAGAAACTGAAGAAATTAATTATGGAGTTCCTCAGGGAAACGTCCTCGGCCCTCTTAGTTTGACTTTACATGCTCACAAAACAACAACATATTTCAACATAACATTTAAATACCAATAGAACTAGGTGACAAACAACCACTTTATTCAGGTTCATCATTTTCTAAAGTGGAAATATCTGGGTAATTAGCCCTGGTTTCAGACAGAGGGTGAAAAGAGGTGCTGCAGCTCAGGCAGTATGACAGACATAAAGAGCTTTTTGAACATTAAAGGAGACATGTTTAAACTGTTATGGAGGACCCAGCATGGAGCCCTGAGGGACGCCTTTACTAACTATAAAATAAAGCTTGACCTTCTTTCACAACACAACAAGCCGTAACATCACATGAATCTGTTTCTGTTTCCTCTGTTGTCTGTTTGAGGACACGTGCAACTTGTCATAATTAATGACTAAACTATGTGTTTCACCAACACAGCAAACAATCTGACAACCTGACATCTTGGTGCCAGGATAACAACCTCCATCTCAACGTCAGCAAAACCAAGAAGCTGATTGTGGATTACAGGAAGTAGCAGCGAGAGGGACACGCCCCCATCGCCATCAATGGGACTACGGTGGAGAGAGTCAGCAGCTTCAGGTTCCTCTGTGTCCACATCACTGAGGACCTGACATGGACTCATCACTGAGGACCTGACATGGACTCATCACTGAGGACCTGACATGGACTCATCACTGAGGACCTGACATGGACTCATCACTGAGGATCTGAGGACCTGACATGGACTCATCACTGAGGACCTGACATGGACTCATCTCTGAGGACCTGACATGGACTCATCACTGAGGACCTGACTCATCACTGAGGACCTGACTCATCACTGAGGACCTGACATGGACTCATCACTGTGGACTTGACATGGACTCATCACTGAGGACCTGACATGGACTCATCACTGAGGACCTGACTCATCACTGAGGACCTGACATGGACTCTTCACACTAACACCATCACCAAAAGAGCTCGACAGCGGCTCTTTTGCTGATGGTGTTAGTGGAGGTCCGCAGGCAGAGGAGGTTCAACATGGACTCCAGGATAGTCTGCAACTTCTACAGGTGCACCATAGAGAGTATCCTGACCTTCTACAGGTGCACCATAGAGAGTATCCTGACCTTCTACAGGTGCACCATAGAGAGGATCCTGACCTTCTACAGGTGCACCATAGAGAGTATCCTGACCTTCTACAGGTGCACCATAGAGAGGATCCTGACCTTCTACAGGTGCACCATAGAGAGTATCCTGACCTTCTACAGGTGCACCATAGAGAGGATCCTGACCTTCTACAGGTGCACCATAGAGAGCATCCTGACCTTCTACAGGTGCACCATAGAGAGCATCCTGACCTTCTACAGGTGCACCATAGAGAGCATCCTGACCTTCTACAGGTGCACCATAGAGAGGATCCTGACCTTCTACAGGTGCACCATAGAGAGCATCCTGACCTTCTACAGGTGCACCATAGAGAGGATCCTGACCTTCTACAGGTGCACCATAGAGAGCATCCTGACCTTCTACAGGTGCACCATAGAGAGCATCCTGACCTTCTACAGGTGCACCATAGAGAGCATCCTGACCTTCTACAGGTGCACCATAGAGAGCATCCTGACCTTCTACAGGTGCACCATAGAGAGCATCCTGACCTTCTACAGGTGCACCATAGAGAGCATCCTGACTGGCAGCATCACGGCCTGGTACGGCAGCTGCACCGACCTCGATCGTAAGGCTTTACAGAGGGTGGTGGAAACTGCACAGCACATCACCAGGACGGAGCTGCCATCCATGGAGGACCTTTACTCCCAGCGGCTCAGGAAGAAATCCCTCCGGATTATAAAAGACCCCCATCACCCCAGCCACAAACTGTTCTGTCTGCTGCCGTCTGGCAGACGTTACCGCAGCATCAGGACTAAAACCACCAGACTCAGGGACAGTTTCAGGTCTAAAACCACCAGACTCAGGAACAGTTTCAGGACTAAAACCACCAGACTCAGGGACAGTTTCAGGTCTAAAACCACCAGACTCAGAGACAGTTTCAGGACTACAACCACCAGACTCAGAGACAGTTTCAGGTCTAAAACCACCAGACTCAGAGACAGTTTCAGGTCTAAAACCACCAGACTCAGAGACAGTTTCAGGTCTAAAACCACCAGACTCAGGGACAGTTTCAGGACTAAAACCACCAGACTCAGAGACAGTTTCAGGACTAAAGCCACCAGACTCAGGGACAGTTTCAGGACTAAAGCCACCAGACTCAGGGACAGTTTCAGGTCTAAAACCACCAGACTCAGGGACAGTTTCAGGACTACAACCACCAGACTCAGAGACAGTTTCAGGACTAAAGCCACCAGACTCAGGGACAGTTTCAGGACTAAAACCACCAGACTCAGGGACAGTTTCAGGACTACAACCACCAGACTCAGGGACAGTTTCAGGACTACAACCACCAGACTCAGGGACAGTTTCAGGACTACAACCACCAGACTCAGGGACAGTTTCAGGACTAAAACCACCAGACTCAGAGACAGTTTCATCCCACAGACCATAAGACTGCTAAACATTTATCTGTTTTATTGTGTTGCTCTGTTGGAGGAACCTGTGACCTCAGATTTCCATCGTCATAACTACACTGTAGCTATGTACCAGTGTTAATTTCGTCAACGAAAACTATGACGAAAAATGTTCGTCAACGACCTTTTTTACATGACTAAGACGAGACGATGACGAGCTAAAAATAGATTCTTGATAACGAAAATTTGACGAAATGTATATTTAGTTTTCGTTGACGAGACGAGACGGGACTAAGGTGTTAATGGTGGACTATCGGACATTCAAAATGCAGGGTATTTCCCCCCAAGTGTCCGTCTTGTCTGTCAAAATGCATCTTACATTTCTAACTTGCAATATCATTATTTCCGCTCTCTTCACTCCAGAAGAGCGATCTCCCTCTCTCTCTGTGTGCGGGGGGCGGGGCCTCACTCTCTCTCTCTGTGTGCGGGGGCGGGGCCTAACAGACACGCTGCAGGGGCAGAGATCTGCCGGGGACGGAGCGTTCAGAAGTATAGAGACACTCTACAAGACTCGATGTGGACAAAGCTCGTTTGCCATGTTTTCGCGTTAGCGCGTTGACACGAGTAGTCTGTCCAAACAGCCGGCCAAAAGGCGTCATATTCAGTCGGAGAAATGCAAAATTTTCGACTTCCTTAACTCGTAGCTCTGTTGCCCCAATTACGAGTAACGTTATCACATCAGGTGTGCAGAGGTGGGAGAAGTACTCAGATCTTGTTGCTAAGTAAAAAAATACCATAGTGTAGGAAGAGTTCCTCAAGTCAAAGTATGATCATCAAAATATATTTAAAGTAGCGACAGTACAAGTAGTCATTGTGCAGATTGTTCCATTTCAGAATAATATATATGATATGTTTTATAATGATTGATCATGAAAGTGTTCTCAAAGCTGGTAAAGGTGCAGCTAGTTTGAATGACTTTGTATACTGCAGGGTAGCTTGTGGATTTACTCCAGGTGGAACTAAAGTCTGAGTTAACACTTGATTATATTTCACATCATTCATCCACATCTGTGAAGTAACTAAAGGTATTAAATAACTGTAGTGGAGTAGAAGTACACAGTAGCAAAACATTTAAATACTCCAGTAAAGTACAAGTACCTCAACATTTTACTCAAGTACAGTACAATATTTTAACATAATTATATATATTTCATTTATTTCACATTTAAATAAAGCAATTAATTCGGTTAACAATTTGTTAGTTTTTTCCTTTAAAAAATAACAAAAAGTAAATACAAGAATACCGTTAAAGTACCGGATCGATAAGCAGTATTGATAAGACTAGTAGTACCGTAGAAAACCTTAACGATACCCATCCCTAGATATTACACAAGTAAAGTGTTAAGAGAGTGAAATGTTGCTTTACGAGTTTCAACCCTTGATGCTGTCACCTTGATTCCAATGTCAGAAACCTGTATCTGCCTAACTGAATTGGTTTAAAGAGAGAAAACATTTTGACTAAAAGTTGACTAAAATGTAATTTTTCATCGACTAAAAGTAGACTAAAACGTTTTGAGTTTTTGTCGACTAAAACTAGACTAAAACGTTTTGTGTTTTCGTCGACTAAAACTAGACTAAAACTATGAAGGATAGAAATGACTAAAATGTGACTAAAACTAATAACCATTTTCGTCTAAAGACTAAGACTAAGACTAAATCAAAAACAGCTGCCAAAATTAACACTGCTATGTACGTATGACTAATAAAGGCCTTGAACCTTGAACCTTGAATTAAGATGCCAATAAAGAGATATTTAATAATTAAATTCACAAAATACAAAAACTAACTCTTAGAACAATAATGAATATTCAACCAATCGAAGGAGAAAACAAATGTGGCTTTTAGCTTTTGTAAATACAATTATATTCTATATATATTTGTGATTATTGTTTATAAGTATCTCACCTGCACTGTTTCCCTCCACAGCCTCACACTCTCTCCTGTCACCTGGAATACATATTAGAATGTATATAACAAAACATGTGATGTGCAATCAAATAACAGTTTTATGAGAATTTCCCCAAATTAAATCACCGTGTGCAGATATTTTCATAATGAACTTGTCCGTCCTTAATGTCCTTAATGTCCTCAATGTCCTCAATGTCCTAAATGTCCTAATTGTCCTAATTGCCCTCAACGTCCTCAATGTCCTAAATGTCCTCAATGTCCTAAATGTCCTAATTGTCCTAATTGCCCTCAATGTCCTCAATCCACAGCTGATCTTTGATTTGTCTTCGAAAATAAACACATTCAGAATGTATATCTGTGTTTTCTTTTCTTTTTTTCCTTTGTATTGTTTCTGTTTCTGTTTGATGTAAAGCCTCTTTGAGCATTAGGAAAAGCGCTATAAAAACCCCATGTATTATTATTATTATGATATGAATCTGATTGGCTCACCTGTGCCGTCCAGGTGTGTGTTGGAGCCTCCTCTCCAGGGGGGGTCCTCGCTGCCCCCCCCCTCTCTGAAGGAGCCCCCCCCCTCTCTATAGGACAGCAGGGCGGGGGCGACCCGGGGGGAGGGAACCTCATCCTCCCCCCCCCTCCCCCCTCCTCCCCCGTTAGTGAGGTCATCAGAAAGCGGCCGTTCGTCCTCGTCCGTCTCCGGGCCCGACAGCACTCGCTCATAACTGGACCCTGAAACACAAACACACACCGAGCTTAGCCTCAGGGGGGGGCAACATGACCTAGCTTAGCATCAGGTGGGGGCAACATGACCTAGCTTAGCATCAGGTGGGGGCTACATGACCTAGCTTAGCATCAGGTGGGGGCTTCATGACCTAGCTTAGCATCAGGTGGGGGCTACATGACCTAGCTTAGCATCAGGTGGGGGCTACATGACCTAGCTTAGCATCAGGTGGGGGCTACATGACCTAGCTTAGCATCAGGTGGGGGCAACATGACCTAGCTTAGCATCAGGTGGGGGCAACATGACCTAGCTTAGCATCAGGTGGGGGCTACATGACCTAGCTTAGCATCAGGTGGGGGCTACATGACCTAGCTTAGCATCAGGTGGGGGCTACATGACCTAGCTTAGCATCAGGTCTGGAAACAGCTAAAAGTAGGAGTCTTTATTGAGAGATGTTCTTTATAGATCTTTAGTTATGTTCGTCAGCAGCAGCAGCAGCAGCATAGGGATTTCAATCTTCACTACTGATATATCTACTGTTACCCCCCCCCCCCCCCTCAGTGATCCTCTGCTGTTACGCCTCCCCCCCCCCCCCAGTGATCCTCTGCAGTTACGCCCCCCCCCCCCCCTCAGTGATCCTCTGCAGTTATGCCCCCCCCCCCCCCCCCCCCCCCCTCAGTGATCCTGCAGGTCTGAATCTGATCTTTGTCTGCAGACAACTGCACAAAAACAGGTGCAGATTAAACAGATCTGCTGAATACCAAGAGGGGGGGGGGTTAACAGGAGTGTGATGCAGGATTTAGGGTCTGATCCGGGTAATACTGAGGGGGGGCTCTCTGTGTGGTCCCCCTCCCTCACTGACCCCCCCCTCAGAGTCTCTTCACCGACGACAGGAAAGTCTAATGTTCCTTTAATGTCAGAAAATAAAACTGTGATCTGAAACACTGAGTGATGCAGCAGGTCGTGTGTGTGTGTGTGTGTGTGTGTGTGTGTGTGTGTGTGTGTGTGTGTGTGTGTGTGTGTGTGTGTGTGTGTGTCTGACCTCCCAAAACAAAAGCCTTTCAGGCGCTGTTTGCCCGCCGGGTCACATGACTCTGGCAGAGAGTGGCAGATGTCACCGGGGGCAACGACAAAAAAGAACACACACACACACACACACACACACACACACACACACACACACACACACCTTCATGTGTTGGTCTCACAGAGCTCTGATTGTCTGCGGACGTCCATCCTTTGTGTCCTTTCAGCAGCAAGGACAAAGCAGAGACACACACTGACCCCCCCTGTCTCACCCGTCTCACCCCCCTCTGTCTCACCCCGTCTCACCCGTCTCACCCCCGTCTCACCCCCCCTCACAGAGACACATTAATTTGCTCTCACATCTCAGACGCCTCCAGCTGTTTCTGACAGGTGGTCATGAGAAGGTATGTGACACAGAGAGAGAGTGTGTGTGTGTGTGTGTGTGTGTGTGTGTGTGTGTGTGTGTGTGTGTGTGTGTGTGTGTGTGTGTGTGTGTGTGTGTGACAGGATGTCCATCACATATTGAAACCTCTTTCAGAATAAGAGCTGACAGTAGGAAACTCTTACAGGATGTGAGGAACATGAATTATTCTTAAAGATTCAATCCAATGATAACCTGAGGCTATAAATATAACCCATGTTTCACTCAGCAGTAAATCTGAATGTCGGGTTAGACATCAAATCAGTGCTGAGCCTCAGAGCGAGCAGCCAATCAGAGCAGAGGAGGGGCGGGGCTTCCCTCAGGACAGTAAAGTGGGTCTTAGAGAGCAACGTACCTGATCCATCTGCAAGACATCTGATTCAGTCTGAGTCCAATAGAGAGAAAGATATATCCCACACAGATAGTAGAGTAATACATGTAGTAATACAGGTAGTAATACAGGTAGTAATACATGTATTACTACATGTATTACTACATGTAGTAATACATGTAGTAATACATATAGTAATACATGTAGTAATACATGTATTACTACCTGTATTACTACATGTATTACTACCTGTATTACTACATGTATTACTACCTGTATTACTACCTGTATTACTACATGTATTACTACATGTAGTAATACAGGTAATACAGGTAATAGAGGTAGTAATAAAGGTAATATAGGTAGTAATCCGGCAGAGCTCTCCAGGTGCTGCTTCCACATCCTGCTGCTGTCTGACAGATAATGAGAGGAAACCAGACCCTCCCACCCTCTCTCTCTCTGTCTCTCTCTCTCTCTCTCTCTCTCTCTGTCTCTCTCTCTCTCTCTCTCTCTCTCTCTCTCTCTCTCTCTCTCTCTCTCTCTCTCTCTCTCTCTCTCTCCCCTGAGATCACCTGAGCAGCTGCTCGACGCACACACGTGCCAATATTCATCATGCTTTATTAAATGTGTGTGTGTTATAATGTTGATCATGTTTCAGGATCTCAGAATGGAAAGAAATCTCTCAAACACGGGGGGGAGTTTCCGTGTCCGACCTGCAGCCTGCTGTGTAATCATCGTCACCACATCCCGTCACCACGGAGACTTCAGGAGGTTCAGACTCCAAGAATCTCTGAACACTAAACAGAGACGTTTACACCATGTGAGGGGGGTGGGGAACCACTACTAACTGTGACCCTTCTCAATGTCCACCCTAACCCCCTAGCCCTTCTCAATGTCCACCCTAACCCCCTAATCCTTCTCAATGTACACCCTAACCCCCCTAGCCCTTCTCAATGTACACCCTAACCCACTAACCCTTCTCAATGTACACCCTAACCCACTAACCCTTCTCAATGTACACCCTAACCCACTAACCCTTCTCAATGTACACCCTAACCCCCCTAGCCCTTCTCAATGTACACCCTAACCCCCCTAGCCCTTCTCAATGTACACCCTAACCCCCCTAGCCCTTCTCAATGTACACCCTAACCCCCCTAGCCCTTCTCAATGTACACCCTAACCCCCCTAGCCCTTCTCAATGTACACCCTAACCCCCCTAGCCCTTCTCAATGTACACCCTAACCCCCCTAGCCCTTCTCAATGTACACCCTAACCCCCCTAGCCCTTCTCAATGTACACCCTAACCCCCCTAGCCCTTCTCAATGTACACCCTAACCCACTAACCCTTCTCAATGTACACCCTACCCTTCTCAATGTACACCCTAACCCCCCTAGCCCTTCTCAATGTACACCCTAACCCAGTGACGTGCGGTGAGGTTCATGGCTGGTTTTACAAATATTATAGCCTATTTTGACCTTAATCGAAATATTCTGTTATTTTCAAAAGCTTTTTTAGTCTGATGCTATGATTAATTTGAAACAGACCGATCAACAAAAGGATACCCAAAATCTAAATATTGGATTGTTCTTTCTTAGTCAGATCCCATTTTCATTACAGTTGTGGTCTTACCTTGACTTGAAGATGAAGTCCATGCTCTCCTTCTGGACAACAATCTCTATTACTTTGTAAAAGTCCTCCTTATCTTCCTGTAGTTTCAAAAGTCTAGTTTGTTGTTTGCGGTAGAATAACAGTAGCAACAAGAACCTGTGGGCTCACGTGCGCCCCCTTCAGTGCGGCAGAGGTTATGGCTGCCTCTCCTGGTGCTTTTTTCATTGCCGTTGTACGATGAGACCAGCGAGCCTAAATATCATATATACGTGAAATAAGTTATTTAGAGACTATGGATGGTGAGGATAAATGTAATAAAGGGATCTACAAACACTACATTGGTGACCTACAGTGAGATGGTAACAGGCATGCGCTTAGGGCCCGCTTTCCAGACAGTTTCTGTGGGGTGACGCATTCTGAGGTGAGGCAGATCTCATCTGTGCCTCACCTCACCCCACACTAACTGGCTGGAGCGCACTCACAAAATAAGTGCCCGCGCTAAATTAGTGCCCGAGCTCCAGCAAGTTACTGTGGGCTTACGTGAGGCAGAGCTCGTCCCTGCCTCACTTCTCATCGCTCCCGTAGCGGAGCTCGGCAAATTTGCTGATTTTGACTATAAAATGCGATTGGAATCAAACAGAAATCACATTTACACAAGATCAGTGGAGACATTTTATTATTATTTCGTTTTTCTTTAATTGTTTTTCCGTTACATTGGAGTATGACAGGTGAGGCTCTGCCTCCCGTGCCTCCACTGACTGCACGTCGCTGCCCTAACCCCCCTAGCCCTTCTCAATGTACACCCTAACCCACTAACCCTTCTCAATGTACACCCTAACCCACTAACCCTTCTCAATGTACACCCTAACCCCCTAGCCCTTCTCAATGTACACCCTAACCCACTAGCCCTTCTCAATGTACACCCTAACCCCCTAGCCCTTCTCAATGTACACTCTAACCCACTAACCCTTCTCAATGTACACCCTAACCCACTAACCCTTCTCAGTGTACACCCTAACCCCCCTAACCCTTCTCAATGTACACCCTAACCCCCCTTTTCAATGTACACCCTAACCCCCCTAGCCCTTCTCAATGTACACCCTAACCCACTAGCCCTTCTCAGTGTACACCCTAACCCCCCTAACCCTTCTCAATGTACACCCTAACCCCACTAGCCCCTCTCAGTGTACACCCTAACCCACTAACCCTTCTCAGTGTACACCCTAACCCCACTAGCCCTTCTCAATGTACACCCTAACCCACTAACCCTTCTCAGTGTACACCCTAACCCCCTAGCCCTTCTCAGTGTACACCCTAACTCACTAGCCTTTCTCAATATACACCCTAACCCACTAACCCCTCTCAGTGTACACCCTAACCCCCCTAGCCCTTCTCAGTGTACACCCTAACCCCACTAGCCCTTCTTAATGTACACCCTAACCCACTAACCCTTCTCAGTGTACACCCTAACCCCCCTAGCCCTTCTCAGTGTACACCCTAACCCACTAACCCTTCTCAGTGTACACCCTAACCCCCCTAACCCTTCTCAATGTACACCCTAACCCCACTAGCCCTTCTCAGTGTACACCCTAACCCACTAACCCTTCTCAGTGTACACCCTAAC